GAACGGGTTGAATCGGGACTTAGCTAATGCAGTGGAGCTGCAACGCTATGTGGAATTAGAAGACAACACATGGTGTTTCCGGCGAGTGAAAGTGGTGGTGCAAGTGAAAGATGATGATTTTTTTTATTTTTAAATTATTTATTTGGGATTTATTTGTATTTTATTGAAAAAATTTGTAGTATGGTTACAATTTATTATTTATTTTTTCTTTTACTTTCTTATTTAAATATGCGTCTATAATGGTCATTTTATTGAGAAAAGAGATGAAAAAGATATGTCTACTATATAAAAAGGATAGTTTCTGGGTATTGTAGCTGCAATAATATCCAATCACATTCTACTGTACAAAATAAGTTTTTTTCCTACTCTTTTCATATTTTCATTTTTCCCCGTATCCATGTGAGAAGAGAACGACGACGGCTTACTTTCATTCGTGTGAAGCCAACGTCGTTTTAATAAAAAAAGAAAAAAAATTATCCATTTGAGAAGAAAACGACAACAGCTTATCTTCATTCGTGTGAAGACAATGTCATTTTTCAAAAAAAACAAAAAATACTTCGCGGAGACTCTCTCCCCGCAGCACAGAGGAGCTTTTCTTCTTACCTTCATTCGTGTGAAGACGACGCTATTTCCTAAAAAAAGAAAGGAAAAAAAAAACCAAAAAATTATCCGTATGAGGTTAGATATGCAGCTATGCAATGGGTTAATATTGACTTCCTTCATTGATTACTTTGTCGTGTGATCTGTTTGAACTAATGTTTCATCAGTTCTAAACATGTTTTTGATTAGTTCTTGTATTAGATTTATTTCGTACTCAATACTAGCAAATAGGTTTTTGACTACTACGTGTGAATTAGGATCTTTTAAGCCAAGGAACTTGTTTAACCATGTTATATCTATGGCACTTTTAAAGCTTTTATTGTTGCTTAGCTTTTACCCTTTACTTATGGTATAACTTTAGAAACATATAAACTTGTATAGTTTGGAATAATTTGCTCGATTGATGCATTCCAGTTGAAAAGTTCACCATTGATTGTGTTAACAAAAGTGAGACCATTTTTTAGTCTGCAAAGTTAAGGTAAGTATGGCATTTCTAGACATTAAATAATTAAAAATTCTTTATTCCACTTGCAATTAAATATAAGTATAGTCATATGAAATGATTGACATTATTGTCTTATTATAAGCAAGCTTTGACTATTAAGTGTACAGATAGGGCTTCAAACACTTTGTCATAATATGCTTTAAAGGCATGTTAAATTTGGTAAATCCTCCTTTAATTTTATTCAGTAGAATCTAAGAAAAGTTTGCCTTTTATTTTCCAAGGTATTTAACGATGAATTCTCTTATAGAAAGCAAGTTGTGGAAGTTTGATCACAATTTTGATTAAGTTGCGTGTCTATTGTATTGCGAAAACGCCAATTTGAATTTTGCGTACTGATACAACAATAATCTTTTACATTCTTTCATTTGTAGAAGTATCACCCCTTAAGACACAACCACTTGAATTCATATAAAGTTCATAACATAGAGGTGGATCTCATGATTTTTTCCTGATGTCATCTCACTACTAGAGAAGTTTCTAAATTTTGCTAGATGTGACTTTATTTGGCTGAACAATTTTTCCAGTACAATGTTTTGGTACTATCTTAAATTATGCTCAAGTTCTGTTTTTCAAATTCACATCATGATCTGTGAACATTATTAAACGGCTGTTCAATATAGATCAGTCTACTTAACTCACAGGCTAAAACTAACTTCTCTTTCTTGCTCAAACCTAAGTCATCCAGATCTATTGCTCTATATATTTTGTAAATGCTGCATGGTATCCTTTTACAACTTCTTTGCTATGCATTTTTATTTTTCGATGCATGCTTTATTATTTATCATACGACACACATGAAGCAAAACCTTTTACAACGACCTATATATGCAATCTAGAAAATACAACATATGATGCTCGGACTCGGGTATGGGTATCGGGCACTGGTACGTATTTATGTGCCAGATCTTTTATTTTTCAAAATATAGGATACGGGGATACGGGAATATGACTAAAAAGAGTTCAAATTTCACGTCTTTTAAACTTCAATTGTTTTACTAATTCAAAATATCATTTTGAATAGGCCAAAATCAATTATTCACAAAGAAGGAAATGCGCATTGAATAAGAGGTTAAGATGAATAAAATAGAGTTATGAGGTTTAGTTTAGATTATGAGATTACTAATTGTTATATAAAATAAAAAATGAGGGATTTGATTACAATTTGGACTTAGTGGAGCACTAAGTAGCACTATATGTATTTCGTTTTCATTTTATACAAACAAAACCCTAACAATACAGAGAGAAAAAGATGGAAAATGGAAAGAAAGAAGAAAGAAGAAGAAAAAAAGGAGAAATAGCTGAGCGACGCCGCCACCTTTCTCCATCCGCTTGACAGCGACTCTAGGTTTACAGATAGCAAAAAGGAGAAAGAAGAAAAGGGGAAGAAAAGAAAAAAGAAGAAGCAAAAACGACGAAATGTCCAATTGAAATTTGGAGGATCCGACACATATCTCATACCCATGTCATGTCTGATATGGGTAATCCAACTATTTCAAGAGTCCGAACATCATAGAATACAACACATACTCATTGGATATGTTTTACATTTTTTTTGAGGGGTTATGTAGGCGTTTTAGCTGATTTAATGCAATTATTTCAATATTTATTGTATACTCAGATCCCGACGTTTATAAACAACCAAGAGAAGAAGCAGAAATGACAATGCAAGAATTATCTATTTTGTCTTAGCGTTCGTTTGACACCCATTTTTTTACCAATTTCTCATTTTGCTACAGTGCACGCCTGACATTTGATTGTGTAAATTCAGATTTTTTGTCAACATTATTAATGCCGTTCAGTCATTATGTTAGCATGTTTAATGTTGTTTTATTTTTTGGACAATTTCGCCCCCAGAAATAATTGGTTGTTTACATCCTTGCCCTCCGCCATTTCAACACAAACATTTGAAAGCCACCTACCATCAATTCAAGGGTAATTTCGAAAAGTTAAAAAATATGAAACTCATCTGACAGCCAATGCACAGTAATGGCAGAGAATCTGTCCTTATGGTCTAAGATGGGGCCCACGACTCTAGCAAAATGGATTGAAAAAATAGGCAAAAAAGGGATGTCAAATGGGGGGTTAACATACACATGCAAGTTTCATCCTAGCTCATTGGTTTTATTTTGTAAATGCTGCATGGTATCCTTTTACAACTTTTTTGCAATAAATTTTTATTTTTCGATGCATGCTTTATTATTTAATGAATCAAATATTTCTTACTTCTTTAAACCTGCAATCTTTATATATGTCAAATGTTTATATTATCATGTACTGCCATGTTCTATATACACGGGATGTTTTCAATTTTAGTTTTGGTGAATTTCTTCGTGCAATAATATCAGTTTTTGAAATAATCATATTGTTAGATGGAGCATTAACGAGGCAATAATATGCTCCCAAAACTCTTGAATAATCCAATAAATCTTAAACTACTTTTTTTTAATATCTACAATTTTTACACTAATAAAAACACAACAAATACAAAATTCGTGCAACATAAGTGTCAACAACTAGTAACCAAAAAAAGTGTATCTTATATGGTGAAGTGCTTGCTTTGGATTCAAAAGACTTTAGGTTCAATTCCAATCACTTCCTCTCCTTTTTTAAAATTTTTTCAAAACATTAAATTAAAGCTAAACAATTTACAATTATATATTATTAGTTTTCCTTTCCGAAATATCGTTTTTAAGAAATTTATTGACTCAAATTATTAGTTCATAATATATATATATACTTTTATTATTAGATTTTCTTAATTTATTTTATAAAATTTAAATTTGGANTTATTATTAGATTTTATCAATTTATTTTGTAAAATTAAATTTGGACAATTTAAATATTGCTCTTTTTTTCTTGAAAGAGTTCGAAAAACATTGAGTCAAAAATAATTTTAGTTCTAAAAATCATTATTGTAAAAACATTTGCATAAACTTCGCCTAAACTCGAAGTTTGTCTTTACTGTTTAATCATGTTTTACGTATAAACTTCATATTGTCTCGTTTAAATTCGTAAAGATTTGACACTTGATCATTCATATATGATTGACAAATGTATATATTTTTAATTATTTTGGATTGTGTTGAATTATATTTTCATATGTATATGACTCTTACATTTTAATTCATTTATATATTGATTGAAATTTATTTAATATTATTTAATTAAATGTTAATAAACAATTTCACTATTGAGGTGATGAACGGTCGCCCTAATTAACTCAATATCTTATCCGTCACGGCCAGAAATGCGTGTTTGGTGTATTTAGAGAGAGTTTTTGGTATTGGAGTGAAAAATGAGAGTCAACGAGGAGGGAAAATAAAAGCATTTTTTCTTACCATCAGTCTAATCCAATCATGTATTGTAAAAAGAACCTTTTTTAAATTCTAAGACAGAAATTTGCGTTTGGTGTGTGTAGAGAGAGAGAGTTTAGTATTGGAGTGAAAAGGGGGAGTCAACGAGAAGGGAAGACAAACGCAATTTTTTTCCACCATTAGTTGTATTCATACATGATACATGACCAAATAAATCTTGAATTTGTTTGACTTTTCTGTAGTACAAAAAGTGAAAATTGAGTTTCTGTACTACAAAGGTGTAGTACTAGTAATAGTCTATATACTTTTCAATGTGGGTTGGCGATCATTTCTAAATTCATTGCTATAAATTCTGAGCATTTAAGACTTGATTATACCAGATAAAAGTTCTGGGTTTCAGAAATTTGAGAGGATTCATTGAATTCAGGGTTGGGTGCCAACTGTCTGATATTGTGTACAGGTGACATCACCCTTTTCGTTTTCTTGCATGCATAATCAATTATTTTCCAAGCATTTGCTTATTACAATCTGATTATAAGCAGGGAGAGTTTTTTGAAATGGGGAACAATGAAAGGGGAGAAATGATGGAAATTGAGAGGGAGGATTTGGAAGAAACTATTGATCAAGAAGGGGATTTGAAGAGAATTCCACCATGGACAAAACAGATCACAATTCGAGGAATTGTTGCCAGTCTGTTGATTGGGATCATTTACAGTATTATAGTAATGAAGCTAAATCTTACTACTGGACTTGTCCCTAATCTTAATGTTTCAGCCGCTCTTCTTGCTTTTGTATTTATCCGAACATGGACAAAATTGCTTCAAAAGGCTAATTTTGTGACGACTCCATTCACAAGACAGGAGAATACAATTATTCAGACTTGTGCTGTTGCATGCTATAGCATTTCTGTGGGAGGTAAGAACTTTCAGCATGTTCATTGTACTATCCATTACTGCGTGCTAATCAAGTCCTTTAATCTTCATTTTCCTTTACTTGATTTTAGTGACTTGAAACTATTCGTGTTTATTTGTTGAATATGTGCATATATATCAGGAGGATTTGGGTCTTATCTTCTTGGATTGAACAAGAAGACATTTGAACAAGCAGGAGCTGATACAGAGGGGAATTCACCTGGGAGTTATAAAGAACCTGGGCTTGATTGGATGATTGGGTTCCTTTTTGTTGTTAGTTTTGTGGGATTGTTGGCTTTGGTTCCTCTCAGAAAGGTGTCTTTTTTATTTCTATGAGAATATGTTTTGTTATTGCTTATGCATTTAATTCCTGCAAATTCATTGAGATTTGCTTGACCAGGCAGTATAATAAACAATATTTTAGTTCATGTGTTTTTCGTTGTTACATAGATTATGATCATAGACTACAAATTACCTTATCCAAGTGGAACTGCAACAGCTGTTCTCATCAATGGATTCCACACTGCTAAAGGAAACAAGATGGCCAAGTAGGCAATTTTCTGTTTTCTTGCCATAACAAATCAAATTCTACTAGATCTTAATCTCTCTTGACTCGAATTTTTCAGGAAACAGGTTCATGGGTTCTTGAAATTATTCTCGTTTAGTTTCCTGTGGAGTTTCTTCCAGTGGTTCTACACTGGTGGAAAACAATGTGGATTCATTAATTTCCCGACCTTTGGATTGAAAGCTTGGAGACAGACGTATGTAAACATTATTTATTTAATCTTTACTCGTTTTAAGTTTCTTGATCAATAAATTTCGGTCATCATTGATTTGATTACATTGAATCCTGCAGATTTTACTTCGATTTTAGCATGACTTATATAGGAGCAGGAATGATTTGCTCCCATCTTGTGAACTTGTCTCTGCTTCTTGGAGCCGTACTCTCTTGGGGGGTAATGTGGCCCTTAATACACAAACAAAATGGAGAATGGTTCCCTAGTTCTATACCGGAAAGTAGCATGAAGAGTATAAATGGTTACAAGGTTTGACTACACAACAAATTACTTTTCAATGAGCAGACAAGCTGCTCGTCCTCAATCTCGAGCTGAAAATCGTGCTAAGGTTCATTTTTACATGCAGGTTTTCATTTCTATAGCTCTTATTCTAGGTGATGGACTTTACAATTTTGTCAAGACATTGTTTCTTACTACTAGAAGCATGTATGCTGCATTCAAGAAGAATCATCCTAAAGCAGGTGAAGTAAAGTTTTATTCTATGCCTCTCGTTAGCCCACTTTGAATTAGCCCATCCATTGCCTTTTCTTTCCAGTCATTTCTCTCCACCATTTAATTGTACTGCATAAAGTAGTAATGTAAAGTCTCTAAAAGAGAAATATGCCCACTTCAGCTTAATTCTTGTGGTTGAAATATGCCTACTCTAGCTTAACTAGGGGAGCCACGACGAAAAGGGCTTATTCCTTTTGGATCGTATTGACACGTTAGACAAAACTAGACGCTGGATAGAGGACAACACAGACATCTGTTCCTTGAACATGCTTAGTCATGTCTTGTCTAGTATACTGAACATGTTGTCAAGTTCAATATTTCATATCATTATAGTGATGTAAATTTGTTTCTTACAGTAGAATCAGATAGCAAGAACCAAACCCTTGATGATCAACAAAGAAATGAAGTATTCATAAGAGACAGCATTCCGATGTGGGTAGCATGTGTAGGGTACATGTTATTCTCTGTAATTTCCGTACTAGTCATCCCAATTATGTTTCCACAGCTAAAATGGTACTATGTTCTTGTTGCCTACATTCTTGCACCATCCTTGAGCTTCTGTAATGCTTATGGTGCCGGTCTAACTGACATGAACATGGCGTATAACTATGGGAAAGTGGCTCTCTTCGTGCTTGCTGCTCTATCTGGGAGAGATAATGGCGTAGTTGCTGGACTCATAGGATGTGGTCTGATAAAATCAATTGTTTCCATATCGTCTGATTTGATGCACGATTTCAAGACGGGTCATCTTACACTGACTTCCCCTCGCTCGATGCTTCTTAGTCAAGGCATTGGGACTGCAATTGGTTGCATAGTTGCTCCTCTCACATTCTTCCTCTTTTACAAGGCTTTTGATGTGGGCAACCCGGATGGAAATTACAAAGCTCCTTATGCAATCATATACAGAAACATGGCAATTCTTGGTGTTGAGGGATTCTCGGCTCTGCCTCAGCATTGTTTGCAGCTCTCTTATGGGTTTTTCGGGTTTGCTATATTGACCAATTTGTCGAGAGATACATTGCCAGAGAAGTTCGGAAAATGGGTGCCTCTTCCAATGGCTATGGCTGTGCCTTTCCTCGTTGGAGCTAATTTTGCAATCGATATGTGCATGGGGAGTTTGATCGTCTATGTTTGGCACAAACTCAACAGCCAGAAGGCTGGTTTGATGATCCCCGCAGTTGCATCCGGTTTGATTTGTGGAGACGGGTTGTGGATTCTCCCTTCTTCTATACTTGCTTTAGCCAAGATCAATCCTCCAATCTGCATGAATTTTTTGCCTGCAACAAGTTCATGAAAACTTGAAGTGCACGTTTAGAGTGAACAAGATTCGACAATACGATGATAATATTGTCTAGTCCCATCCAATCTTCCTAACCGAACATATCATAAATTAGTTTATAGAATACTGCTAGTTACTAATTGTAATAATATGGATATTGGGCTCGAGATTCAACAAGTTTATGTAACAGTCAACTATTGTAGGTTGACTTTTTAGAGCTCAAGTGAGAGAACAGAACAGCCAGTAAAGGTATTCTGCAAGTTTATTGTTGTAACTTGGAACAAATAGGAGTTTGGGGGGTTAGAAATTTAGAATTTACTACATAAACTAAGATTTTCATCAACTCGTGTCGTGTGTCATATGTATGTATATTCGTGTTTTTAGTGGTTTCACTTTTCAGTTTAGTGAATTGTGAAAAAGTAAAAAAGTAAAAGTTGAAATATACTTTTTAAGTGAATTTGAAAGTGCGCGCACTATTTCATTCACTTCTTGATCAAAATACAAACCACTAAAAGTGACAAACAGAATAAACAAATTTTTCAGTGCGACCATAAGATTCACGTTTATCCCAAAATATATCATTTTCCAACAGAATATTCATACACAATCACGGGGTGGTTGGGGGGGGTGATGAAGATAAGGAATAAAGATGAAAACAAAGGGAAGGGACAAAAAATATAAATATATCGGCAAGCATCTTGCCACTTACTCGATAAATTAAGAAAGAAAGATTCGGTGAAATACTTTACACTCCGTCGCGTCTTCTGACCGTTAGACAACCCAATTATATAGTCCTTGTTTGAGTTTTATTCTTTGAGAATAAATTTTAGAAAAAGCGATTTTTATTTTATTTTATTTTTTAGAATGATTGGTTAAAAAAATTGATTTTACGTGTAAAATTATTTTATTGGAGCATGAAGAGGAACTATATTTCAACACATTTACATATACTTGTCACTTCATATATCAAATAACAGCTTAACTAATGACAAAAATAAAAATAAAAAAATATTATATTACACTTGCAAAATTAATCTGAAAAAAAAGCCAACCAGATGCCAATATTAAAAAATACAGTATTAAAGACCAAATAAATGTTAAAAATTAACTAGTGAAAATTTTGATTACCCCTTAATAGAGATAGAGATTGCGTTTAATCTAGACATATTTGACACTATTATAATAGAAGGATACTATAATAAGAATGAAATTTAATTTCAGCTTCCGCTGTAAGTACTTTTTTTAAGAAAACAAACCACATATTTGATCAATAAGCACTTATTTGACCACAACGAATTACCCGTATATTTGAGGAAAAAAAACATATTTTCCCTAAGGGTAAATAAAAGAATTCTCAAGGGTAAATACTTTTTCAACATTGTGTAATTTTATTCATACAGCTGTTTTTGTTAACTGCGCCACATTTTAATATTAATAAATATTCCTAACTTTGCTCATTTTTGCACTAATGTTCACAATGTTTTTTGTCAAATTCTTATCGTCAACATTCTATTAATTTGCATATTTTGTTTTGTATGACGGTTTTGTTCAAAAATTTATTAGGAAGGCGTAAAAAACTTATTTAGCATTCTTTTTTTAAAATAAACAACACATATAAATGTTTGACAAAATATTTGAAAGAAATCACATCACAGACAATTGAAGGTTAAGAAGAAAAATGTTACAAAAAAGCTAAGAACATAAGTTCAAAAGTATTGAGGACCTTACTTATCATTAAATGTAGTGCGGATAATAGGAAATGTAGTGTGGATATAATTACCTCACTCGTCCGACTTTTTGCTTCTTGTTAGAAAATATGGATTATGGGTCACCCATGTGTGGTGACCCAACCCACAAGATATCAAAAGAGTTGGAGGGAGTGATTTGAATTTGAAATTCAAATCTACAACTCCACATAACCTCCCATAACTCCTATAAAACCTCCAATTTTTTTGTCGCAATGGAGAGAAAAAAAGATGATAGAAAAATGATGAAAGTTCGTATGGAAGATATCCCCAAAATTGAAAGGCACCTAGAACTACTATTTTGGCTTGAAAACTCACAAAAATTGGCACTTAGGTTGTGGCTAATAATCCCCTTCCATTATGATCAGGATTGGAACCATTGGCATATTTGAAGTTTTGGAAAGCATGGTGATTTAACCATTCAAAAGATCTTGAAATTCATCATTTCAAGTAAGCATCTTGATCTGAAATTCATGTTAAAGTATGCTTCGAATTACTTCATTGGTATCAGAGTCATAAGGTTGAATTCCTTGTTGTAATACATGCTTAAATATAACATTACATGATACAATTGGGTTATGAATTTTATATGTAAAATTTTGAAACATTATGTGGTCTTAATGTCATATTTTGATAATTTACTGCTTTTTATACATTAATAATTATGCAATAAATTAGTATTGTTAGAAAGGCATTTTAATAAGCTTTCCAACCATATAAAAAAAACTTAAATTTTGGACTTAAAACAAAGAAGATATGAGGGTTTGAAGTTTGTATGTAAATTTGGTTTTTACATGAAGATCTGTAAAATTCGAAACTTCATCACATGATAACTTCTTTTACATTGTGTTTCATGCTTCCCATTTGATATAATTGGATAGATCTTCTCGAGACATTTCTAATGACATAAAGATCATTATTTTGGCCTTGAAATGAAGAAGTTATGACCTTCCGAAATTTGAATGTTAATCTGATTTTTTTTGGCAAGAAAATTGGTAAAATTCGAAATTCCATCATATCATAACATTTTCTACACAATGTTTTATGCTTCCCATTTGATTGGTTGGATAGATCTTCTCAAAACATATCCAATAATATAAAGATCATTAATTTTGGCTAAAACATGAAGAAGTTATGATTTCTCAAAGTTTAGTTGAAAATCTAAAAATTTTGCATGATTTTTTTTTTTTTGCCATTTTCACTATTGGGCAAAGCTATTGATGTTCCAAATGTGACATTAAACAATGATTTTGTAAAATCTGACTATACAGATGAACTCAGAAAGTCGAAATTAGTTGGGAAAACCAATTGAAAAGTTTTTTCGAGAACAGCACAGTGGTGCTAACCCGCCTCATTTTTCTTATTAATTTAAGAAAATTATTGTAGATTGGTCCCGCACATGAGGGCACATGAGGAACTCGATTTAATTCTAAAAAATTGTACATTGTTCCCTAAATTATATTTGATTTTTTTGTATAACTAAATTAATTTTTGAATAGTTAAAAATATTTTTTTGTATTTAATGCTTGAAATAAATTTGTAAAAAGGATTAAATTTTTTTTTTTTTAATTTGAGTAAATTCTGATTTTTTGTTTTTTAAATCAAGAATATTTATTAAATGGTATTTGGCCAGCGGGAGCTATTTTTTGAACTGGTATCATTTTTTTGGAAAACGAAAAATATTCTAAAAATATTTAAAATACCACATTTTATATACGTTTATGAATTGTGTGGGTCTTTGATTGTGTTATGTGATTCATTATAACTTGTTTTCAACTTTTGTGCTTGATCAGATATTACTGAATCTAAGCTACTTATAGTATTTTTAGAGAGAATGCTAGAAAAACTAAGGCTATGGAACTTGTTAAAAAAAACTATGTGTGTATTAAAATTAATAAATGGATAGGGAACACGAAAATATTTTTGGGATAAATTTTTTGTGATAAGCAGAATATGAGAATTCTAATGTCACTTCCCATTTGTCGGGATTGTGTTGCAACAGATATTAAAGCAAGGTTCAGAGTCTGTATAATAAAACTTAAATAATGTGAGTTTTATTTTTCGATTATAAGTGAAATTATTTTCTCAGCAATCATCTCAAATAGATTATGTGCATCATCTACCTCGATAGTCAAAATTGATTCGCCCGCAGAAGCATCTACAATATTACGAAATTCAAAGCGTGATCCATTGTAGAAGAGATATATTTGTGCCAGTTTAGGAATGTCAAGATTTGGACACTTCCTAAACGCGCTCTTGAACCTGTCCCATTCTTCTGGATACGTCTCAAAGTACATTTGTCTGAAAAGATATACTTCGTTTCTGATTTAGTGGACTCGAGATGGCGGAAAAAATTTCATGGTAAATTTTTTTACCATGTCATCCCACGATACGATGCTCCCATGAGGTAGTGAATACATCCATGCTTTTGCGCCCTCCTTAAGGGTGTGAGGAAATAGACGCATCCTAAATACATTTTGTGACATTCCCTCGTGGCAGATGACTTCGCACAACATGAAAAAAGCTTGTATGTGTTCATGTAGATTCTCTGTGGCTTTCCCACAGTACCTGATGTCTTGATGATTTTAGAAAAGGTTTATGATATCTAGTCGGATGTGGAAGTTGGCTTGTCTGAAGGGTGGGTAGATAATTGCCGACTACACTGGTGCAGGAATAGGATTCACATAATCCTCGACTAATATAGCTAAACCGAAGGTGGTTGCTGAACTGGAAGTGTTGCTTCCTGTAATGCATCCTGAATCTGATTCTGATTTTCTGCCATTACTTTTTCTCTTCTCCGTTCTCTTCGACGTTGCTTGAATGTCCTTTCGATCCAGGATCTATAGGGAAGATCTCGATCTCGTCAGGATCTTACATAAACTGGTGGAAACCTGCGAAGAGTGAAAAACGAAGAGATCGGGTATTTTAATTAAAGCCTAAAAAGAACAAAAAGGAAAAAAAATAGGAAAAAAATTGAATTTAATATAAATTACTAAACTAAAATTAAATTCGTTACTCCCTGACAACGGCGCTAAAAACTTGTTCGGACAAAATCTGCAAGTGTACGGGATCATTGTACAAGCAATAAGATTTGTGAGTTAAGAGTATCATTCCCACGAGGAATAATGTCTAATTTCATGGGCGGATCCAGTGGTGGGCTACACTGCATTAAAAATAGAGCAAATTAGGCCCAGTACTTTCATTTACTTAGAAAATTGATTAATATACTTTGACTTTTAAAATTTTCATTATACATTAAAAAAATAGTAT